AGCCATCTTCCCAGGCCCAGGCCTGATAACTTTTAAGTGATGCTGCAGCATCTTTTAATAAGGTGAAATTTCCCTTCTTTCCTGTTGCACACACGTATACACACACACACACACACACACACACAAACACAGGGCCTGGCTCTGTTCTTGAGCTTCTTTTTTGCTCAAGGCTAGCTCTACCACTTAAGCCACAGCTCCACTTTTTTGGTAATTTATTGGAGATGACTTTCCTGCCCTGCCCAGTCTGGCTTCAAACTGTAATCCTCAGCTCTCAGACTCTTGAATAGCTAGGATTATAGGCATGTTTCACTAGCACCCAGCTTCCGGTTTGCTTTTTTAAAAAGTATTTATTACTGGTAACTGATGTCCAGACATTAAAGAGTTATATTTAACTCTCAACTCCAGGCTCGTCTTCCTAGTTCTTCTCTGCATTAACTTGGGATTCTGACATGGCTCCTGTCTGGGTTTGCAAACAGAACAATTTGCCTCTTAGCCCAACTAGAACCTAGAACAAGGAAGTTTCAGACTCTCATTCTATCTGATGATAATAGATGTTTTCATAGTGACTTTTAAGAGATTCAAGATAAAAGAGTAATTCAAAGTACTACTCCATCTTTTTTTTTTTTTTTTTTTGCCAGTCCTAGGCCTGGGCCCTGTCCCTGAGGTGTCTTTTTGCACAAAGCTAGCACTCTACCACTTGAGTTAAAGCGTCACTTCCAGCTTTTTCTGTGTAATGTGGTACTGAGGAATCGAACCCAGGGCTTCATGCATGCAAGGCAAGCATTCTACCACTGAGCCACATTCCCAGCCAACTCCACCTTTTTAAGCAAAGCAGTTAAGTGATTTTTACATTTACAAAACTTAATTTCAGAAAGGTTAATTAGTATTTCTCAAGACCATAATAAAATTATAATTATAAATCCACTGTCATTTTGCTACTTACATTCTCATTAATAATTTATTTTGAATGAGAATAATTATAAAAGGGCAGATTCTTATAGATTTGAGTATATGAAACCCTGACAAATGACTCAAAACATTCTTGGTAATGTTAAAAGAAAGTTTTAAGAATGTAAAAAAAATAATGTGGAAAAAGTTTTAGCTTTTAATCTGAAAAATGAACAGTTGCAAGAAAAAAAGTTACAGAATATAACTGTATGTAAGTATAAACATTCACTTATAAAAATAGTCTCAGAAATAAATTACCTTTTAATCTTAAAAAAACATTTAAAAATCATAGCATACAATAATTTATATATGTATGCACTATGTTTACCCATTAGTTTTTTAAAACATCTGGGATAACATCCCAAAGTAAACAATGTTCATAAGACCATCTGGACAAAACTGCAGGCAAAAAAAAAAAGCATAAACATATGGAAAAACAGATTTTCTCCTTCCCTTCAGCAGAAAGGGATGACAAATGTCAAACCTAGATATGTCCACGCTTCAGTGTACGATGCTTTTCAGCACCACCTGGCTCTCCATGCACAGCCACCAAATATGGGCAGCACTGCCAGAAAGAACATGTCCACAGGGCAATGGCAATAAAAACTGTTTATTTCATGGTTAAATTGCCACTTCACACACGTGGCAAGGCTCTGTTGACTTTTATATGTCAGTCTGTGAGAAAATATCAACATCAACCATGTTATTGGGCGTGAGGATCAAATAGATCAGATCATTAATTTAACTGGAAAACAGAGTAACATTTTAGTTTTGCATTTTAAAAGTACAAGTTTTCTAATATATAACAAGTTAAATTGATTAATCAAATGTTTATGGGGTGTCAGACAATATATGAAGCACAATAGTAATTTATACTAAATTGCTTAGCCTATGGCTAGAACATAAGAATATTATATTAACAGCACTATTGTGTTAGGCCTTAAACTTATAGCATTAAACATTATTTCAGTAAATCCTCTGTAAACTAAGTATACATGTTGTCTATTTGTTTAGTATTGTATGCTCAACTGCGTATGGCAGCATATGCTTAATCAGCACCAGGGAGACTGACATGAGCTTGGTCCAGCCTGAGCTATGGAGAAGAATTTTGCTTCAAAAGAACAAACCAAAAGACAGAAAGAAAGAAAAGAAAAAATATCGGCTGAATATCTAGTTCAAAACAGAGGTATCAGACTAGCATTTCAATTATTTGACAA